AACCCATTTCATTCGAAACCTCTGTTATTCATGAGTCTAAATCCCCCACTCCAGCCAAGAGTTGTTGGATATTTAACTCTTCAACCGCTGCTCTTTTTTCCTCTGCATTCTTTACTGATGCTGCCTCAGTCCCTGAAACCTCTGCCTGTATTAGTACGCAGGAGCTGCTCAGTAGGCATGATGCGACCTGCTCTAAGATCTTAGATCGCGTGGCCCCGCCAAAAATCAGGCGACCAAAGCGGGCACCACACCCCTGGTTGAATGCGACCACTCGTGCAGCCAAATGTCTATGCAGGAGAGCTGAACGCAAGTGGAAAAAGGACAAATTACAGGTTTCTTTTATCATGTTAAAAACATGTTTGAAAGATTATCAGAGCATCGTTAAATCTGAAAAAAACAAATACTTCTCCCAAATCATTGCTTCAAACAGTCATAATCCCCGTGCTCTTTTTAATACCGTAAATTCCATTTTAAACGTGCCTCTGTCTGCCAGCATGGAGCCCTCTGTTGACATGATACTTTGCTGATAAGGTAGAGTTGATTAGGTCATCCATCCCCCAGTCCACAACTGACCCCTCTGTCTTTGTCCCTTGCTCAGCTGTCTTCAAACAGTTTGAACCCATTTCACTCCCATTTCTAAACAAAGTCGTTGGTCTGATGAAAACCTCCGGTTCCCCTGCTGACCCCATTCCTGTGTCGTTTTTCAAACAAGTTCTACCCACGATTGGACCCTCTGTTCTTACTATTATAAATAGTAGTATTGTGACAAGTGTGGTTCCCGATGTTTTCAAACATGCAGTAGTTCATCCGTTAATTAAGAAACCTGGACTTGACCCTTCGATTTGCTCAAATTTCAGACCAATCTCAAAACTTCCCTTCCTGTCCAAAATCCTGGAGAAAATAGTTTTCATTCAATTAAACAAGTTTTTGAATGAGAACAGAATCTTCGAGATTTTTCAGTCTGGTTTTAAGCAACTCCACAGCACTGAAACAGCATTAGTGAGGGTTTGTAACGATATTATGATGTCAAAGGATTCTGGTCAATTTGTGGTACTTGTGCTCCTGGACCTTACTGCTGCTTTTGATACTGTTGACCACAGTATCCTTATATCACGGTTGGAACAGTAGGTTGGGATCACAGGTGCTGCATTAGAATGGTTCCACTCATACCTGAGTGGCAGGAGTTTTTGTGTCAAGGTTGGTAATAATGTATCCGCCTCATTACCTCTTTCTTGAGGGGTCCCACAGGGTTCAATTCTTGGACCCCTTCTGTTCTCACTTTATTTGCTCCCACTGGAGTCCATCCTGAGGAAACATGGTCTTTCATTCCATTGCTATGCTGATGACTGTCAGATCTACCTGCCTGTGAAACCAGCAAGTGTTTGCTCCATCCACCCTCTGTTAAAATGTCTGGACGACATTAAGGCCTGGATGGCTTCAAATTTATTAAGTTTTAACAATGAGAAGACCGAAGTCATTGTTTTTAGCCCTAGCTCAACTGCCACCACTGATCCTGTCAACCTGGACTCTCTTCGGCCATATCTTAAGCAGTCTGGTAAAAATCTCGGTACGGTTTTAGACTCTGACTTCAAGTTTGACAAACAAATTAACTCTGTTCTGCAGAAAAGCTTCTTCCAACTCAGACAGGTAGCTAAGCTCAAGCCAGTGTTGTCCAGACCCGACCTTGAGAAACTAGTCCATGCCTTTGTCACGACCCGATTGGACTATTGCAACGCACAGTATGCTGGGATCAGCCAGGCCTCCATCTCACGTCTTCAGCTCATCCAGAATGCTGCTGCTTGGCTTTTAACCAGAACTCGTAGGTCTGAACATATTACACCAGTTCTGTCCTCCCTTCACTGGCTCACTGTTCGTACAAGGATAGTTTTTAAAATTCTTCTGTTGACCTTCAAATGCCTAAATGGCCTTGCACCCCTTTACCTCTCCGAGCTACTGGAACCTTTCGTTCCCTCTCGGGCCCTGAGATCATCAGATCAGCTGCTTTTGGCTGTTCCAAAAACAAGACTGAAGCTCAAAGGAGATCGGGCTTTTTCAGTCATGGGCCCCAAACTCTGGAACAACCTGCCCCCCAACATCAGGCAGGCCACCTCCCTTCCTCACTTCAAATCTCTGCTAAAAACACATCTGTTCTCGCAGGCATTTCACACAGTGTAAATTGATCTAGTGTTTTGTTTTGTTCTTTTGTTCTGTGACCCTATGTTTAAAATGCATTTTATTAATTCTTCAGTTATTATTATTAGTGTATTGTATTTTTTTTCTCTTTAATTTTACTCCCATTGATTTTTGTTGTTCCCTGTGATGGACTTGCGACCCGTCCAGGGTGTACCCCGCCCCTCGCACAGTGATTGCTGGACATGGGCACCGGCGACCCCCGTGACCCAAAATGGAATAAACGGGTAAAGATAATGGATGGATGGATGGATGGATGATTTTTGTTGTTGTTAAGCACTTTGATAACAGGTTCTGTTTTAAATGTGCTCTATAAATAAAGTTGACTTGACTTGACTTGACTTAATGCTGTGAAAGTTAACTGGTCAGAATATCAGATCTGTTTTTTGATAACTGAAAAATGTTGCAGTTTTGATTGAAGTCAGAGCTGGAAATTCACCAAGGTACTACAATAAAAAGATGTTTATTGCATCCCAAACCTAATAAGATTAGTCATGTTTGGCCTCTCTGTTGGATTAAGGATTTATTTGTAGTTTAGCTGATGTTTTTATGAAGAAACTGTGGTTTTACTAGCTGGAACAAAAACAAAAAGGTTGCTACTTATTTTCGTTCATAATGTTGGAAAAGGATAGACTGCATATTGAGTCTTCTGCATCTGCAACTTGTTGTTAAATGCTAAATGTGAACATGTTTTTTTCCTGGGCTTGTGCAGAAATAATATAGAAACGAACACTCATAATCCTTAATCAAAGGTGACTCACAGACCCAAACAGCAGTCAACCAAACAAATATGTTAAGAGTTGTGTTTTCCCTCCAGAAAGCCTTTTTTCATCTGTTTTAATCATCTGTTCCTCCAGTCACTAAGCTGAGGGCTCAGGCTAAACATACTAATGAGTTGGTTGTTACCAGAAAGAACAAAAAACTGAATTAAAATAAAATAAAATAAAACATTTGCAGCTGCTATGAAGTCACAACTCTGTTCAGGATCAGTTCCTCTTTAATCCATACTTTTGGTCAGTTGCAGATTAGGTGACACACAATATTATTGGCTCTTCTTTCCCACATTGATACAGTTTTTTAGTGTTTTGTGTGTGTGTGTGCGCGTGCATGTGTGTGTGTGGTGTGTGTGTGTGTGTGTTTTACTTCAACTTTTGTCAAAACATTAAACTGTCTGTATGGAAACTTTGATCAGATTTAAAGACATTCTGGCCTTGATAGCTTTGCAGATGAACATCTGTATAAGTTTGCAGATTTTCAAAAATATTTTTGTAGTAGTAATAATAATAATAATAATAATAATAATAATAATAATAATAATAATAATGAAAATAATAATAATTTAGCTGTTTTCAATTTGCTCAGACAAATACCCCAGTCCCTTAAATATGTGCATAATTGGGGATTACCTAGAAAGGCAACCACCCTACAATTATCCATCTGAAAATGGTCTTGTTCATCCTTCAACTATAATGTGATTCTTCATAGCCCCTGATTGCAAATCAAGAATCCAAGATGGCCATCAAAGCTACATTTAAACAGCTTTAAGTCAGCTATTTTTACACATATAAAGCTGAAATTTCGTGTTATTATAGCGAAAAAACATTCGGCATCACATACTGAATCCAAATCAAAACTTCAAGATGGCCACCATAGCTTAAAATAAAAAAAAGACTATAACCCATTGATTTGTTGCCGTATTGAGCTGAAATTTGGTTTGATTGTAGCCGAGAGTGAACCCCAACACAAAATATTGTCAAATCAAAAAGTTAAATTGGCAGCAGTGTGGCAGTCCCTGTCAAAGTTTCTCCAAGAAGTTTCTAGTCATCTTTTCTCTGCCCAGATGACACACAAAGTACCTTCCTACCTTTCTCTATAATTACTGTTGCTGTAGTAGCCCAGTCATCTGGAAGCTATTCTTACCCCCCAGAGCCTTTAACAACTACTCTCTGAACTCTTCACATTCTTCCTTTCTCAGCTTCCACCTTGGTATTCTTCTCTGATTTTACACTTTTTCTCTTCTTGTGTTTGCAATGTTCAATAAGACATAATAATATAATAAAATATAAAAATAAAGCAATTGCTCTTGCAAAGAGAATTTTATATTTTATTATCCCCGAAAAATATAAAAACAAACAAACAAACAAACTACTGGACTTCAACTCTGAAGCTGAAGATGTTTTGCTTCCCATCTGGGAGGTATTATCATCTGGGACGCTTTTTTGATAATACCTCCCGGATGAGAGGCAAAACAGCTTCAGCTCCAGACCAGAAGTCCAGGTCTGTTTGTTTTTTAACTTCTCTTTTTTTGGATTGATCATGAACTGGATGACTGAAAATCTTCACCAGAATATTCTGTTTATTTGAATGTTTGGAAAAAGATGAACACAATCTTTCAGCATTTTGACTAGTTAAAACATATTTTACTCATATTCTTACATGATCATATTCATCATATATTTTAAATTTTGCCAGATATTTGTTTAATTCAATCTATTTCTCAGATCAATAAAGTTTGGGGACACAATTAATATTACAATATATATTAATACTATTATATTATACTATATATATATATATATATATATACATATTTATACTATATATTAATACTGCTCGTGTATATCCTTGTATATTGTTTCTTCGTATCCTTTTATTGCTATTTTTGGGTGTAACTGGGATTTTGAATACACAATTTCGTTCCACCTCATGTAAAATATGTGATGTGAATGACAAAAAGTATCCTTAAACTGCTGCTCATGAACAGTATTTTGTTCAGGCAGCAGTAAGTCGCCAATTGTGACGTCATTTAGGACCTTTGGAACCAACATGGCGTCCAATTCGGTTTTATTCGTTTGTTTGGGTAGGAAATGTTTTGGATTAAATTTGACAAACAAGGATAATATTTTAATCAAACATTGCATGTATTAAGTATATCAAACAGCTAGCATTGTAGTGGTTTGTTTATTGTTTTTATTTCCTTTATTACAAAAGGCAGCTTGAGTGTTTTAGCTAGCTAACTTCCGCCGCTGCGAACTATTCGGGCCTTTTTGATTTACTTAAAATAAAACACATTCAAATCTCATTTGATTTAAATAAGTAAGAATTTGTTTTGACAGGGTCACAAATAAAACGTGGTAAAAAGAATATCTGAAGCAGCTCGTTTTTTATTATTATTTTTAATAAACGCCGGTACCGTATGTGTCTATAAGGAAAAAGGCTGAAGTTCAGCCAAAGCATTTTTTAAAATTCCGAATCAGAGACCAGCGTAGTCAGAAAGTGTTTCAGACGTGTTGCAGTTTGGGTTGACAAAGTTAATTATACCAAATATTCGTCATAGATCAGATTTATTTTAGGAAATCATCAGTTATTGAAGTTTTAGTATTTTGATATAACATTAAACAAATGGTCTTAGTAAATCTGTTAAAGCGAGCAAATGCCCCCAAACTGTTTTAGAATAAATGTAGAAAATAACATTTATTTTTGTTCATCATCATTACTTTAAATTATCATTTATTAAATTTATTTAAAAAAAAATCATAAATCTTATTTTATAACTTTTTTGTAGTGATGGGCAAATGAAGCCTTTCTGAAGCACTGAAGCTTGTTTCGAAAAAGGATTCATTACTCAAAATTTTTCAGTACAGTCCTCTTTGGTGAAATCTTGTGGCCAAAATTTAAAGAGCTGCTTGAAACCACAGCATGAAATGAACCGTTTCATCGTGGTTGTCCAATCGATGGAGTTGACAGCTTTTGATATTTGATGAATAAATAATTTTGACGAATAAACATGTTAGAACATCAGGTATAGCGTGATGCCCCGTTGCTTGTGACTTCTTGACATTTGTAAACACAGATTAAAAAAATTAATATCTAATTCACAATACTAGTTTAGAATGATGCTTGTGCTGCAGGTTTCTTGCCACCATGACCTTGTAATGAACCAGTTTATGTTGACTGTGAGATCAGATTGTAACTTATGTACATATAGTGTTTTTCTAAAGTTTTTTTTCCCCTTGGGATAAAAGTGCTTATGACCTACACTACTAAACAGATAAAGCACAAGGCTAACCGGCTCCATGTCTCACTATGTGTCACTTGCTGGTTTGTTATATTTTGTGCATATTACACCACAAATCCAGCCAGTCATTTATTTCCTAAAGCTCTGAATCAGGTACCAAAGCGGTGACGTAACTTTCGCACTTTCGAAGCATCGGACGTCATTGATCACATCACTTACTAAACGACTCAAGCTTCGACACAGAGCTTCAGAAGAGCTTCAGAAACAGTATTGTTTCTTTTTATACATGCCCCAGCGCTTCAGCTTCAAACAACCCATCGCTACTTTTTTGCAAGTTTTTTTGTTATGCACATGTTTTAGCATGAATATGTTTGTGGTTTTGAACAGGTAATATCTGCAGGTCACCTATTGCTGAAGCTGTCTTTAGGAAGATGGCAACAGACGCTGGTGTTGTCGATAAGGTACTGTCATCTGTAGTTTGTTGCTACATTTATTATTTTTTGCCGTAGTGAAAACATTTTTAGCAAAACATCCATTTTTTGAAGTTATGAATATTTTTCTACATTTTCAAAGAGCAAATGTTTTATATAGATATTTTACAGTCTTGTTCAGTTTTATAAAAACATGATCGTCATATATGGTAAAATATTACATTTGGTAATGAAAAAAATATTTAAAAAAAATGTCAGTTCTTATTTTTGTGTGTGTATATATGTATATATATATATATGTGTGTGTGTGTTATATGGAATAAATGTTCTGTTATAATAATGTAGTAAATGAGAAATGCTGATAAATGTGTCTTACATTTTTTTTATCTGTCCACTGTGAAATATGCTAAACCAACTATACATTTGTGTCAATTTTGTTGTTATTGTTTTCCATTTCTTGCTCTGTCTAGTGGAGGATAGACAGTGCTGCCACCTCCACCTATGAGATAGGAAACCCTCCAGACTACCGTGGGCAAGCCTGCATGAAGAGGCATAACGTGCCCATGAGGCATGTGGCCAGGCAGGTACGACCACACTCACCTCTTAGCAGTAGCTAGCGCCCCCTCTTTGTTCTCTGTTGTTGCAGTGGGTCATTGACAGTGGGGCCACAACTGACTGGAATACAGGCAGTTTACCGGACAGCCGTGGTCTGGCCTGCCTGAAGAAGCATGGCATTGAGACAAGCCACAGGGCCCGACAGGTACAATCAGATGTCTGGCGGCTCCTCATGTAGTTTAATGCTGTTACATAAAACGTGTATCATTTGACACACTTTATTTTGACACAAAAAGTTGTATGAGGTTTTCTAATTTAACCCTTAAAATGAACAAAAACAGATTAAAAATATTTGAAGGAAGAGGCTTGATGGCAGCAGAACAGGGCAGTTCTCCGTGAAAGTGTTGCAGCGTTTACTTTGTTTCTCACTAGTTGTGTTAAAGGCCTTGCATACTCCATAAGAAGCCGCAAAATCGGCTCTCATTGGTGTGTGACAAAAATTTCATTCAATCATGTTGTTCTCAGAGCAACTTCGCCCGACCCTTTTCGACACAAGGCCCGGGTCGAACTTTTTCCTCACAAGAGTTTGTGTCAAGTATTGTGTGATTGGTCAGAAGTTTGTGGGCGTGTTTGTCAATGCGGAAATGTGCTTGGACATTCCTCTGTACTACTCTTCAAGACTCACTAATAGTCAAATGGCCCAAAACTCCTGGATGGAGATCATGCACACATTGTGTACGGAGGAGTCTGTCTGCTGAAGAGTGTGGCGTTTTCTTCATGATAGATTTGTGGCCAAATGACGGATGTAGGGACAGAGTGCAGACCCTGGCCCTTTAGTCTCTAGTTTCTCTTTGGGAACAAATGAGAGTGTTGATCCACATTTATAGTAAGTTTTCTTTTGGCTGCTCCCTTCTTCAGGGGTCACCACAGCGAGCGAACTTGCATGAAAGGTTTGGCAATTTTGCTTGCTGGATGCCCTTCCTGGCGCAACCTGGGCTTGAACCCGCAACCTCAGGATTACAAGACCGCGACAGTGACCACCAAGTTAATCTTCTGTTAACTATTCACGGAGCTGATTGGTCTTTAAGTGTTTTTGTTGGCTGTGAAACAACAAAATAATGTTGTAGAGTCATCCCGCTCTTTCTGGGCGTGTTCTACTTTCATCGCTTTCTAAACTTTGGCGTTCCTACTTCATGACCATCAATTCAAACAAACACTAGGAGAGCTGACATGGAAGGATGAGTGCTTCCTGCTCAGGCCTGTTGAGCTGACCAGTCATCAAGCTTGCCTTGAAATAAAGTTATTTGAGTTGGGTGGGGTGTGGGGTTGTTGAAAGCTGTAGCTTCTGTCTAATTTCCAGTTCTGATGTTTTTTTTATATATATTTATTTTCCCTGTAATGCCAGCGAAACAATAAAATATGCATTATAAAAAGTAATTGAACAGTTTAAAAAATTTTTTTATCGCAGTCTTTGAATAAACACAGTTCTTTTCAACTAAATATAAAAATATAAGCAGTTATTACAATCTTGTAGAAAATAAATACCTTTAATGAAGGAATAAAACAACAACTCATATTTTTTCTGCATACCGTAAAGGAATTTATAAAAAAAAACTTGATGTACTTTTAATAAGGATTCTTCGATTCACTTGTTAGTTGTGGGGTAACTAAACAGTTAAATACTTTAGTTTGTTTACAGTTTGTGTGTAATATCCCAAATTGTAAAGTTTATGAAAGAGGCCAGAAATGACTCCAAAACTGTTGATGCTCAGGAGATTTACCAAGTAGCATTTCAAGCTTTTATTTGTTGGTTCATTTTCAGAGCAGCTTCTACTCATGTCCTTTAAAATGTTTATTTTTTATATGTATAGGACATCTCTGGGGTTTTACTTTGTGCTTGACATGAGCTGTTTTACTCGGGTCGTCTCACAGCACACTGATTCTATCAGAGCCTCATCTAATCTCCCTAAATCCGGCATTCTGGGGGCAAAGTCTCGACCCCAGGCGTAAATGCAACCAAATCCACAAAATGAACTTTGACAAGCTCTTGCCTTTTTATCAGCCTTTTTTATCATTTCTATCACAGTTTTTTTTATGCTCCCATCGTTCCATTTTGCTGAGCTTTTGGTTCGGCCAGCATCCAAACAGTTTGGCCAAGTGGGAGGTTGTTTGGAGACCACTGCATCACCAAAAAAACCCCAAAAAAACAAGCGCTTCTTTACAAGACAAATATTTTCTGTCAACATCTGGAACAAGTAATGTGGAATGTTTTTCTCTTATCAAAATCTGTCAGCCGGCCATCGGACTGATGAAGTGAGAATTTGATTTTATACTCAATTTATTGTTATATCAACATCTGAGGATTGACCAACAGTGCTGGCCAAAATATCATCACCCTGCTATGATCACTTTAACTCCACTTTTCTATCTTGTAGGTTTTGACAGTGCACATTTAAAAATATGTTTTCAATTTAAGATCTTTCCCACCACTATTACTAAAAGCACAAATGTGCTTTAAATCAAAGATTACCGCACGTACCGCTGTACACGTCGCATCGCCGTATAAGCCGCATCAGTCCAAATATGTCTAATAATGTGGAAAAAATAATTAAAAACCGCTTTGCCGTAAAAGTCGCATCAATTATACGTCACCGCTGGCACGTCGTGTTTATGTGTCACTGCGGATCACCTGGAAACGTGGGCTGGTATTGTGCCAAAAATCGATTGGCTGCCAAATGGTGGCCGCGGGAGCGTGCACAGGAGGACTTTAACAAGAATTTAACAAGATTGACGCTTAAAAACAATTATTTGTTTGCATGAAATCATAGCAAATGTGTGTCTCAGTTGAACTTTTCCTTAATAAATACACTTTAATGGTGACATCAGCTGCATTTCGCCTGGGCGGCGCGGCGAAATGAAGCTGATTTGACGTTTGCTCCAGGAGTTTCGGAGCAAGACTAAGGTAGTTTAGTATGGCAAGCCAAGTGTCTCATTAATAGCCACTTTTACCTATTAATGAGATACTTGGCTTGCCATATTACTCAAAGGCCCTCTAGCGGCTGAAAATGGTAGTGTTCAATATTTTCCATGTCAGAATGAATGAAATCATCAGATCTCAGACAAAAATTGGGTTATAAATATGGGGAAAACATATATTAGTCACTTTGGTGTATAAGTCGCAGGACATGCAAATTTATGCAAAAAGGTGCGACTTATACAGCAAAAAGTATGGCACTAATATTAATTTACATTTAATGCATTAGTTTAGGTTTATTTTGTTTTGTTTGTTTTATGGAAAGGGTTTAAGGTTATTTCTAAAATAGCTTGGTAATGTTAGACATTATAAAATCAAGCTCAGATCAAGTATTTATTAAATATAAAGTGTTTTATAGATGGGGACCACAACTTTGTGCACAGGAAGACATAAGTGACTAATTTGGGTAAAATACTTTTGTATCGACTGAACTGGTTCTGTAAAGATCAACAAGCTCAAGAATTTTATTCAAGTTAGAAATGTTTGTGATTATAAACAGTATTCATGTTTTTGTTTTTTTATTTTGCTTCTTATTAACTGCAGTTATACGACCTTTTATTTATGATGACAACAGTCACGTACACATAGATGGAAATAAAGTAGTTTATAACTTTTATAGATATGTTTTTCTTCCAGTCTTTATTATTTTGTTCTGGTGTTTTTTATAGCTTGATCTGTTTTTAATTAGTTTTCTTCTAATTTAATTAGGGTCAGTTTAATTATATAACTATTTTGGTTATTAATGTTAAAATGTTTAATGTACATATGTTTTATAAATGGTATCAAAAAATGTTTTTGTTTAAAAGGCCCAGCAGTTTATCGTTACATCTTTTTTTTTACATAGCATCTATTTATACCTTCCTTTTGTTTTTAAATATTGCTCCTCACTGCTCACTCTCAACCAGGTATTTGCAGAATCAGTCCAAGATGTGTGTCAGCCCTGTAAATCTTTTTTTCTTCTATTTTTTTTAATCGAGGATTATTGCTGCATCATTTGAACTGTGGGAGTGTCAGGTCAGCAGGAGCACAGAGATCAACACTCGCACACCGTGATTACACACAGATTACTGCCATGCGTGAGAGAGGGGTGTGAGAATAATGCCTCACCATAATAAAATAATACATCAGTTTTGACAAAACCCACCTGCTGTTACATGAACATATATGTCCATATTTATGAAAAATCAGTCTCTTTTTTTTTAGCATTTCTTAACCACTTATTTGCTTATTTTACAAAGTTAACTCCCACAAGATTCAGTCTCAATAAGCTGCAACTAAACAAAGTAAATACTGTGCAGACATACCTGCACATGTGCAGTTCAAGTTCACTCTTTTTCTGAAATTATTCATAAATTTTAATAGGATGGATTTTTGTAATTTAGTCAGCAATAGTAACGCGGTGAAAATAGATTTTAAACACTCAGGAGAAGTTGTTTTCAGCACAAAAAGAGGGCAGTAATAAGCTGGTTACCTTGCAGAAGATTTGAGATTTGCAGCCTGTTGACTCTTGAACTCTGAACTTTCGGCTCACGATGACGCAGAAATAGAGATTTTACCTCGAATTTGAAAAGCCTGGAGTAATAAGTTCATTGACCGTCCTGCCTTTTTTTTCTTTAAAGCTTTTAACTCAGTGGTCCCCAACCTTTTTTTGCGCTTCGGACCGGTTTAATGTCAGACATTATTTTCACGGACTGGCCTTTAAGGTATGGTGGATAAATACAACAAAATAAAATGATACGACCGGCATAAAAACTGGTTTTCTAAATGTAATAATAAACATGAATCCAGTCTGTATGCAACTTTATTAGCAGCGTCCTCGTAACATCTCACCCACTCGCCTTCTCACACCTGTTCTCGTGAACATATCACTCCTGTCCTGCAGAAGCTCCATTGACTCCATGTCACTCAGCGCATCCATTTCAAGATCCTCCTCATCACAGTCAAAGCCCTCCATACCTGACCGACCTACTCCATCACCACACTCCTTCTCATTCCCTCCGCTCCTATGATGCCAACCTTCTCTCTCTCCCCTGTAGGACCAAGCTCCCAACCTGGGGAGACAGAACCATCTCCATCACTGCCCGCCCCCCTCCCCCCCCCTCTGGCACTCACTGTCCCAATTGTTTTGTACCTGCTTCGATCTCCCCACTTTTAAGAAAGAACTCAAAACCCACCTGTTTTAAAATAGCTTTTAATGTTTAAATTTGCCCTTTTTGTGTGTTTTTATGTGTTGCATTGCTGATTTTATATGTTTTGGACTCCTGTAAAGTGTCTTTGAGTACAGTGGTCCCTCCTTTATTGCGGGGGATATGTACCCTGAAGCCCCGCGATAAGTGAAAAACCGCAAAGTAGGAGTAGTAGTACAAGTAGTAAGTAGTAGTTTATTTTAGTATTTATATATATATATATATATATATATATATATATATATATATATATATAGAGAGAGAGAGAGAGAGAGAGAGAGAGAGAGAGAGAGAGAGAGATATTAAGACGTTTTAAACCCTTCCCACACTTGCAGTATTCTAAACGATGTTTCTAAACTCTAAGCGCTCTAAAAGAGCACAGAATGTCATGATTTCCCTCTCTGCCTCCGCTGCTCTCTGCCACCTGCAAGCGTTCTTGGCCACGCCCACTTTCCCGCTCTGCACAGAGAACAGCTGATCAGCTGTTCAGCTGCAGGAGGAAGTTTATCCTTCAGTTTGGGCTGCACAAGTGTGCAGCAGGTGCTAAATAATTTAAAATAATTTATTTCAAATAAAAATTCCATGCCGATCGTGCGGCTCATACATCAATCAGCCAATTGTTTGTCATGTCCAATCTTATTTTGAAAAACCGTGATAGCGCGAGGCTGCGATAAATGAATTGTGAAGTATTGAGGGACTACTGTACGTAGAAAAACGTTATACAAATAAAATGTATTATTATGATTATTATTATTATTACCATCGCACCAACATCGTAACATGAGTAACGGCCTCTCAGCCCCACACTCTGGTCGTAATAGTAAAGGTTAAACAGGATGTTGATGCAAATACCAAGTGGGTCTCACTCACCACATTAAAACTCAGAAATGCTACGCATGAATGAGATTTGGGCTTCCTACCCGTTTTCCGGTCACTCTTTGTCCGGCAGGTTGGAAAATACCACCCACCCCGGCAATGTAGAACTGATCTTCGCATGTGCGCCGAACGGAAACTGAAACTAACCACTTGTGTATGTTGACCTGCGGCAAGAGTGAGTCATAGACTGATGTGGTGGAGAATCCGGTGGTTTTTTCAAATATGTATATATATTATTTCTCTCCTGTGCGACCTGGTACCAATTGACCCATGGACGGGTACCGGTCCGAGGCCCGGTGTTTGGGGACCAGTGTTTTAACCGATCACCAAAAGATGTGTACAGTTTGATCGAGTCTTCTGAGTCTACCAGTCGTAAATGTTTGTCATTGGTATAACAACCAGCAACTTCGCTAGACTCCGTTAAGTTTGATTTCCACTACATGTCCTGGTTTTAAGATTACAATTCAAAATGTGGACAGAAAGAAGACAGCCTATGTTTGGTAATGAATGATGTTTTCTGCTGAGGACACCCCCCCCCCCCCCACACACACACACACCTCCCTGAAGGACCAGAGGGAGTCTCTGCTGACTGTGTGGTTCCCACAGAGAGCTAAAACTAATATGTGCTTTGTTCTGCTTCTCTATCTCACTTCCAGATAACCAAAGATGATTTCACGAGCTTCGAATATATTCTGTGCATGGATGAGAGCAATTTAAGGTAAGGTTATTGTTTTTTTTTTATTATTTATTGGCTTGCACTGAAACTGCCGAAGGTCGCGGTTTAAATCAGGTGTCCCGTCTTCATAACGATGGTTGTTTGGGCTCAGGAAAACACACACATTTGTTTAAAAATGGTGGAAACACTGAGCTATGACTAACTTGTTGGTGAATGCCTTCCCTTTAATGAGCACTATCCTTTCTTAAGCCCTTCCCAAAGGTCATGGGGAGGGATATTTTTTGCTACTTTGAACGTTTAGGGATCATTTTGAGATCACATGCTTGTGGCAGATCTGATCTGTAAGCAGCTTACTGAGTTCTTTGAATGCCTCGTCTTCCCCCCACCCCCCTTCATTTTCCTCCCTCGTACTTTTTCCAGACAAAAACACTTTATTTATTATTTTACTTCTTGTTTCTTTGCTTTTTTTGTTTAAAGATATTTTTACTTCAAGAACTCAGTTTGCACAACTATCGTTCAGTTTTGTGTACTATGAATAATCTAAATATTTTTAATGATTTGAGACATTAATCACACAGATGCCTGTATTATTTTGTGAAAGGTGCTCGTAAAAGGCAAGATATAGACCCTGCTTTAAATCTACTTGGCATTCTACCCAACATCAAATAAGGTTCTGATACAGATCCCGGGCTCTCAAGCTAAAACCCTCGCGTGATGTCGTTTCCTGCACTGACACTTCTGGACTTGTGTATCTTCTCTGGTCCCCACAGTGATTTGAAAAGGAAGGCAAACTCCGTGAAAAACAAAAAAGCCAAAATTGAGCTTCTTGGTTCCTATGATCCTCAGAAGCAGCTGATCATCAGAGATCCTTATTATGTAAGTATTTAGGCTAATGCATATGTTTACTGTTTTCTAGCTTTAAGATATACCAAGCACCAGCAGCCTTTGACCCCACACAGGATCAACTGGGTATAGAAAATGGATGGATAAACAACTTGATTTTGTAAAAACAGGAATGCAGACATAATCTTTAGCTTCTGTTGATGTCAATACTTGCTAAAAAGAAAGTAACTCCTTTCCCAGACAACAAAATGCTAAAAAGTAGTAATAAAAAGTTCACGAGGAGCTTACATTTCATAAAAATCTTTGTCTGTACTTTTTATTTTTTTTTGTACTTACTGACTTTTCTGTTTGTGTCACTGCCACACCTTTTTGTTAATTAATCCCTAAAATCACAATTGAAACATCTTGGTTTGTTTTTACGATAATTACAAATGCTAATCTTTTAAATGTGTAAAAATTTTTCTTTCACAACTCCCTCCTTTATAATACGACCTTTCACTGAGTAACACAGGGTGTAAAATGTAAATAAAAGCCAAATACAATGTTCTATTATTTTAAATAACATTATCATTTGCATTAATAGTAACAAAGACGACATATAAAATGCTGATTTTGTCAAGTTCACATGTTTCAAAACTTGGGCTCAGTGGTTTTTTTTTTTATACAAAGTGCAGGAAGCCACTAATAAAGATGTGGAGTTTATTATTAAACAAAGTGCATCGTCTCCCAACTAATTAGTTTGATTTGTAACAGGTTTAGGAACATGTGTGTGGAAAGAAACATTTTAGAAAAGCAGTCTTTCAAAAGTAAAAACTTTAAAGGCAGAAAAGACCAAAGAGTTTTTTTTAATCCCTTTTTGAGACCAATAAAAGAAGTTTAAAGAAAAAGAAGAATATGAGGATTTCTTATTATGTTTAAAGCTTATGTCAATGATCATTGTCATCACACAATTGAATTTTCAGTTCAATTCAGTTTATTTATATAGCTCACAACAGAAGTCATCAGAAACATTCACATACATAAAAAGTCCGTTAATAATGTTATTTATCTAACGAGCCAACAGATTGCTTTGAGTCTTCACTTCGTCACAGTCTCTCAAGCATGAAGGCAACAGTGGAAAGTAAAAACTCCCTCATGAAGAAACCTCCATCAGAGCCAGGCTCAGGACAAGCGGCCATCTGCTTCGACACAACGTCAAAAATGAAAAGTTTTTTCTTATTTCAGCATCACAATAATAAAACAATCTGCATGGATGCAACAGAGGGTTAGGAAATTTAACAAATATGCAAACTGCTGATGTTCAAAGTTATTTTTGATCAAGGGTTTTTACATTATAGGTTTTCTTGGAGAAAATCAATATATTTTCTGAATAAAATAATCGAAGTTCATGCTCAATAATCCAGGTAAAAAAATTCCAACAAAGTTCAGTTAGGTCATCTGGACTGTTTCTTTTTTGTTTGTTTAAAGATTTCTTCCAAAGGACTTCATCAGTCAGAGGAGCCACAACAAACTGAGTCCCACAAGCAGCACACTCACATAGTGGACCATTCAGTTTGCTGGCGATAAGATGGTATCTGGGGCCTGCCCTCTCCCCTGTCGACTGAGGCAGCTATAGCCGAAGTGGTTCAAAACATCAAAAGTTCTTGCTCTGATGAAGTTGATGCTCATGAACCATTTTAGCCATGGCTGCCTCAGAGGAGTCGACGGGGGAGAGGACAGACTCAGAAACCATCATATCACCATCAAACTGGTTGGTCCACTATGTGAGTGTGCTGCTTGTGGGACTGAGTTTGTTGTGGCTCCTCGGATTGATGAAGTCCTTTGGATGAAGGATGAAACGTCTCAGCAAAATTTCCTTTTGGCTTGTTAATTTATCTTCTCAAAAGCTCTTTTTTTAAACCTCCCCACCCTTCCAACCCACATCAGAAACATTTTCTTTTAGGATTTTGATATTCATGGTACAAAAACCAATATTTAGGGCCTACTTTTCAGATAAATTAAATCAAGCAGTAAATGGACTGTACTTATATCAATATACAGGTGCTGGTCATAAAATTAGGATATCATGAAAAAGTTGATTTATTTCAGTAAATCCATTCAAAAAGTGAAACTTGTATATTATATTCATTTATTACACACAGACTGATATATTTCAAATGTTTGTCTTTTTGTTGATGACTATAACTGACAACTAATGAAAACCCCAAATTCAGTATCTCAGAAAATTAAAATATTACTTAAGACCAATAAAAAAAAAAGATTTTTAGAAATGTTGGCCAACTTTAAAGTATGAACATGAAAAGTATGAACATGTGCAGCATCAATACTTAGTTGGGGCTCCTTTTGCCTGGATTACTGCAGCAATGCAGCGTGACATGGAGTCGATCAGTCTGTGGCTCTGCTCAGGTGTTATGAGTCCAGGTTGCTCTGATAGTGGCCTTCAGCTCTTCTGAATTGTTGGATCTGGTGTATCACATCTTCCTCTTCACAATACTCCATAGATTTTCTTTGGGGTTAAGGTCAGGTGAGTTTGCTGGCCAGTTAAAAACAGAGATACCATGGACCTTAAACCAGGTACTTGTAGCTTTGGCACTGTGTGCAGGTGCCAAGTCCTGTTGGAAAATGAAATCTGCATCTCCATAAAGTTGGTCAGCAGCAGGAAGCAGGAAGTGTCTAAAACTTCCTGGTAGACAGCTGCGTTGACCTTGGACCTCAGAAAACACAGTGGACCAACACCAGCAGATGGCATGGCACCCCAAACCATCACTGACTGTGGAAACTTGACACTGGACCTCAAGCAACATGGATTCTGTGCCTCTCCTCTTCCTCCAGACTCTGGGACCTTGATTTCCAAAGGAAATGCAAAATTTATCTTCATCAGAGAACATCACTTTGGACCACTCAGCATCAGTCCCAGGCGAGACACTTCTGACGCCGTCTCTTGTTCAAGAGTGGCTTGACACAAGGAATGCGACAGCTGAAACCCATGTCTTGCATATATCGGTGCATGGTGGTTCTTGAAGCACTGACTCCAGCTGACTTTTTGTGAATCTCTCCCACAGTTTGGAATGGGTTTTGTTACACCATCCTCTCCAGGGTGCAGTTATCCATATTGCTTGTACACTTTTTTCTATCACATCTTTTCTTTCCCTTTGTCTCTCTATTAATGTGCTTGGACACAGAGCTCTGTGAACAGCCAGCCTCTTTAGCAATGACCTTTTGTGTCTTGCCCTCCTTGTGCAAGGTGTCACTGGTCGTCTTTTGGACAACTGTCAAGTCAATAGTCTTCCCCATGATTGTGTAGCCTACAGGACTAGACTGAGACCATTTAAAGGCCTTTGAATGTGTTTTGCCTTAATTACCTGATTAGAGTGTGGCACCAAGTGTCTTCAATATTGAACATTTTCACAATATTCAAATTTTCTTCAGATACTGAATTTGGGGTTTTCATTGGTTGTCAGTTATAATCATCAACATTAAAAAAATAAACATTTGAAATGTATCAGTCTGTGTGTAATGAATGAATATAATATACAAGTTTCACTTTTTGAATGGAATTACTGAAGTAAACCAACTTTTTCATGATATTCTAATTTTATGACCAGCACTTGTATGTACTTATACTTCTATGATCCAACCCGGATACTCAGATCACTTTACAACCCAATCCGTGCCCTCGTTTACCCATCCACACACATTAGTACAGCACTCTACTGCAACTGTTACAAAGCTAAACTGAGTAAATCAGTTTAGCTGATTTACAATTCATCTACTTTCAGCTAATTTCACCTCAGATTTGGCAACTCAAATCATTCTGTAGAGACCAATCGGGGCGTTTTATATCACATTCATACACCGATGGGGCACACATCGGTGGCAGTGAGGGGTTCAGTGTCTGACACAGGGACACTTCGACAAGTGGCTGCATAAACCTCCAACTCTCTCATTGGAGGACAACAGCTCTAACCCCTTAGCCACAGCTGACAAAAATGGTCGTACTGCTCTTTAAAATACTACATTCTGTGTTGTAAAATGGTTTAAAGAGAGTAATAAACAACAGGAACCATTACACAGTGCAGCCTTTTATTTGTGCTCATGGTTCTGGTTTGTGTCAGTGCTCAGGTGCATGTGGTAGTTGTACGCTCTGCACTCTTTAATCCACGTTTCATTCAAGCAGCTTCTCAAACCACCAGTGTTTAGTTGTAAAATAGATCAGTTCAAGCTTCACGGTATTTGTTAGACAACATCTCCCAGTCTGTGCTCAGGCAGTGCCTCGTTAGTTTTATTTTTTTAATTTTTTGGTATTTTTCAATAAGGTGTCTTCATGCCGCATGGCTCCGTTCTTTTATTCTTAACTTACTCTCTCTGCAGTGAAAAATGCTTCCAGATGATTTGAGCAAGGCTTCTTGGCTGCACTTTATTACTCTTAATGATTGTGATTCAGGAAAAAAAAAATCAGGAATTGGGAAAAGCACGAGAAAGGCTGCAAAGTTTCAGTAACAGTGAAGTCGCATCGATAGCTCGTGTGGTTTTGATCACTTTTTAAAATGTTTTTTTAGAGAATATTTGGTCAAATCTCAGAAGTATTCATTGCACTGTATGGTTTTGTTGATAAATATGTATTTTGTTTGTGTTGGTTCCTGTTTTTACTGCTCTGTTACGTACAGTGGAGCCCACGTCCCAAATAAAACCGTCATCACATCATTAGGAAGGTGGCTGGAGAGGAGCTTATAGACTGTCAGTTTTATAGAAGTGTTGACAGTTGTATTAGGCTCTCATTGCTTTATGTGATGATTAGCTTGTGTGTTTTTGTACGTCTCTACAAGAGCTTCTGATAATATTTGTGGCTTTGGGAAGAATATTGACCACTATTCTGGGGGTTATGGCCCCTCGCCAGCAGCCTAAAGAGATCGCAAACGTCCTCAGTGACCACAGTCACCATGTTAACATAATTTGAAACAAACACACATTGTTTCTCTAAAGAGATCGTAATGAGCTTAATGCTACAGTGAATGCATCATTTTCATTCTTTTGGGTTTTCTTGTTATTTACTGAAAGAGACACACTGAGTACACACAGATGGACTCACAAAACACATCGTTTACAAGGTTTGATCATTTCTTGTGGCAGTAAAAGTATCTTTAATCTTCCAGATTGGGCCTATAAAATTAAATGGTTTCACTTGTTCTTTATTAGCAGACAGGTCATTGGGCTTCAACTGCTGGAAGCGAGTTGGCAACTCAAAGTTGCGAGATAATTACAAGAAGATAAGCTAATTTTCCGTTGCAGTTTAACTGAAGTGTTCAAGCTTTTTAAGCATTTTTGAAAATCGTGGCCTTGTTTTGTCTGCAAAACTGTACTTTAGTTCATCCGTCTATCCATCCATCCATTATCTTTACCCACTTCTTCCTTTATGGGTCACGGGGGTCACTGGTGCCCATGTCCAGTCATCACTGTGCAAGAGGCAGGGGACACCCTGGACAGGTCTCCAGTCCATCACAGAGACACAAAGAGACAAACAACCATTCACTCTCTCTCTCACACCTAGGGACAATTTAGAGTTACCAATCAGCCTAACATGCATGTTTTTGTTCTGTGGGAGGAAACCGGAGTACATGGAGAAAACCCACACATGCATGAAGAGAACTCGGATGGATGGATGGATGGATGGATGGATGGATAATGAAAACATAACATATATATGTTATGTTTTCAAAATAAAAGCGACTAAGGCATCTTCCACTGATTCGGGGAAATGTAGAACGCCGGATAATGCTTTGACACATTTTGTAGACTTCCTCTTTAATGTTTGCCAAAAGTTGCAGCCCAGTGAGAGACGGCCTTTAGCATTTTGGTCCATTCCCAAGCTTACTGAAAACTGATCGATTTGTCAGGTAACTATTACACCTTGATCCTCAGATCAATTCTAAGGCTTTAGTTGGCAGAAATATTTGATAGTTTACTGAGAAATTTTGATTATCTCCATGAATTTTGCTTCCTACGTCTAGTTAATCTGGATATTTCACAGCAGATTTCATTAAAGAAACAAATAGTTCTCCAGTTATCCAGTTTGTAGAAAACTAAGTAAAAGTAGAAAGATTTTTTTTATCCCTAATAAACAAAATAGCCTCAGATTTAGTTGTGGTATTCTTTACATTTTTTTTTTTAAATCTTTATTTTACCAGTAAGAAATCCATTGAGATCAATCAATCTCTTTTACTCTTTTTAACTGAACAGAAAAACTATATTACTCTTTATAATTTTTAAAACTTTGAACTAGACTGTTTAATTCATGCACACATTCTAACGTCTGGTTTGTTTTTACAACGTGATCCAAAACTTATTTGTAGTTGAGATAACTACCGGTAACTGTGTCTGTGAAAAATGTAGAAATCTGATGCCAGTAGAACACTCAGAAACCTCAACTGTTTATAAAATATGCTAAACCAATTTGTGATGCGTTTTAGAATATTTTCCAGCTTCTCTGGACATGGGGTTTGTATGTTTATAAAAGTTATTTCAAAGGGAGTGGAAAAACGTTAAAACCACAGAAAACAGTAACGTCCAAGGTATTAAAAGTATTAATGTCAGAGGGTTTTGGATGCAGAATCAGCCAGACAAGAGTATAAAAACAATGAAAACAGTTTTATTGATATTGGCAGCTGCAGGAGGGAGTCAGGATCAGAACGGAGAACAAGTCTTCAAAAGCAGGCGGGATGAGAGCCACCTGACAGAGCGTGCAGGGGTCACCAGCACTGGTTGCAGGGCAGCTGCGATGGAGCACTGTGATGAACGGGGTCTGTAGGACAAACCAAGAACGGGGTCTGAGAGACGAAGCAGGGGTCATGCACAGGTCGTCAGAGGTCCAAGAACAAATCCAAAAGGTCGACCGGTCGAAGCAGATGGCCGCTTGTCCTAAGTCTGGTTCTGCTGGAGGTTTCTTCCTCATGAGGGAGTTTTTCCATTCCACTGTTGCCTTCATGCTTGCTCAAGATGAGTTCTGCTATGAACTCAAAGCAGTCTGCTCCTCAGATCAGTATGTTGTCAACTTTTATAAATATGAACGTTTCTGTTCAGCGCCCTGAGATGACTTCTGTTGTGACTTGGCGCTCTATAAATAAACTGAACTGAATTGAAATCGAAATTAGTTACAATTATGAGCACATGGCTGCAACCTTTTTTTTTTAAATTAATTCTTTCTTCTTCTTCTTAGGGAAGTGACGAAGACTTCGAAAAGGTGTATGAACAGTGTGTTCGTTGCTGCAAAGCTTTTCTGGAGATGAACTCCTAACCAGCTTCAACCATGAAGCATCTTTCCTCAATCTGACGGACGAGCAGCAATTATCAACCTAATGTGATTAGGTTGTGAAACAAATGCATTTATCATGTGGAGAGACCACATACATTTTTGGTTCTAGGATTGTAAATGTTATACAAGCTACATTCAGAGTAGTGCTGGATCTACATGTTTGTAGCCTGAAAATCTGAGTAACTAATAAATTTACGTTAATTTAAAAAGAGTTTTGTTTGTCCACAAACTATTTGCATCTACTATAAATCATTTGCATGAATGAAATGCATGAAGTGTTAAAAAAGGTAAACGCTGACGGGGTCAAAGTGTATCCTGTGTTGTTTAATTTTAGTTAAAACCTTAGTGCAAGAAATAAAACTATATAAATATTTCAACTTCAAACCATTAAAAGGTTTCTGAATACAAAATATAGGTTTGTACGCTCAATCATCCAGGTAGATAACAACAAAAAATGTTAAATCATGTCATCTGGACCAGTTTCTTTAAGGGAGAAACATTTTGTCTCCCATCCAGATGACTTTGTCAGTCTGCAGCCTGCCAACCAGATCTGTCCCAGAACAATTTCTGAGATTCCAACAGGTTGGCTTGAAACGCAGCAGTGAAGGCTACCTATGGGACAGATCTGGTTGGCAGGCCGTAGACTGACAAAGTCCTCTGGATGGGACACGAAACGTTTCTCACTTAAAGAAACTGGTCCAGATGACATGATTTAATTGTTCCTGAATACAGTTATGTGTGTGCTGAACCTGAACAAAAGACTACTAATTTTATATAACTAATATTTTCGACAAACACTGTAAAGCAAAAAATAAATACATAAAAATCCAGTGATAGTTCAGATCTTTTGTAGTGGGGTTCTGTAGAAAGGATATGAAGAATCGCTGCAGATAGCTTTTTAAATGACTTCAGTTTGGACAAAAGTGTTCAAATCTGACCGAACTGGTGAACTAACAGGTAGTTCAAGCAGGACAATAAGAACTTGGTTCAGATCTATGTTCAAGGTTCTTTATTGTCATTCACATCACATGTGGTACATGAGGTGGAACGAAATTGTGTACTCAAGGTTACACCCCAAAATAGCAAAAATATAACGTATAGAAAGAAACTGTATATAAGGATCTAAGATATACACTAAACAATAATAATACAATATGGTGTATTAAACAGCAGCCTGAACATGAGTCTGTTGTGAGCAAATGGGTATGAAGATAGCAGTTTAAAGACAAAAAAATCAGCAGCATGGATAATCAGCAGCACGGATAAAGTGACAAATCACCAATTAAAGTAACTTTACAGTGGTTATTCTGGTTAGGGATTTATGAGTTTTAACAGCCTCAGGGTAGAAGCTGTTCCTCAGTCTAGTGGTTCTACACTTAATGCTCCTTAACCTCCTTCCTGAGGGGAGTGGGGCAAAATGTGTGTGCGCTGGGTGAGTGGGGTCCTTCATGATGCAGGTGGCCCTCTTCCTGCATCTGGAGGTGTAGATGTCTGTGATGGTGGGGAGAATGACTCCAACAGTCTTCTTCTTCACCACTCTGCAGTCAATCTTCTTGATCTGGTGGCATCTGTGCACTTCCTGTTAGCTTGATGTAACTGGCCCATGTCTCTTGTTGGGTAAAGTTTTATTCTTTGCATTTTTTCTCTTTATTTTTTGTTGTTAGGTTCATTGATAACCGCGGTAGATGTGGCTGAGACCGAATGGTCTCTGTGTCTGTGATGGACGTGTGACCTGTCCAAGGTGTCCCCCTCTTCTCGCACATTGAACATGAGCACCAGCGACCCCCATGACCCGTAAAGGAAGAAGCAGATTATTTTAGTATCTAAGTTCAATGTGTTCCTCTTCACGCAGTTTATAAATAAAATATTCTGTTTCGTGCCAGTCGCCGCTTGTTTCAGAAGTGGTGCTTTACTCCCACAAGGTTGGCTTTCCCCGTCAGTCAGTCCGCGTGAATTTGTCTTGAGTTATGGTTTCATCGCATGTAACGATGGGAAAATGGCTGTAAATCATCGAGCAAGGGCGGAGCTGACGGAGACATGAACCAGCTGATTCCTGGAGGGTTTCCACTTGTTGAACAGAGTTGTCTGTGAATTTGTTTCAAAATATTGTAATTTTTTTTTTAAAGTGGCACATCTTTGAGACGGATGAACTGGTTCCAGGTCAGTCAGAGTTAAAATGCCATGACTGCAGCAGGTGATGTGGATTCAGGTTCTGATTCTGAAAACCTGCTCAGAACCAGCCTCGGGTGTTTTATGTTTGTAATAGTTTTCCAAGGGAGCATATTTCTACTTTTTGAGTTTGTGTTGACAGTTTATTATGTCCAGGAACAATTAGTTTTCAAGAGGCTCTGTTAGTGTTGAAACAAGTCCTTCCTCTCCTTCATTACTACAGCAAATAAAACGTACTGCTCTTTTAGCTCATTTCTAGTTTTTTAGGTACTTCTAATTGTCTGAACAAAGCATTTGACTTTCTGCTCCAACACACCAAGCAGTTAATACATGTGGGGAAGAAATCGGTTCTTCTGTTTTCAGTGTTTTGACTTTTTTCAGTTTTCCAAAATTCTACCCCTTAATACGAAGTTTTCAAGGCTCAGTTAAAACATTATTATCTCTGCGGGACAATTTGTTGTGCAGCCAGCAGAGAAAAAGAACAAATAAACAAGAGCGGTACCTTCAACACACACAAAGTGGGTTTCTGTAATTTTGCATCCAACATTTCAGAGAAGTATGCACAAGTTAATGAACTGTTATACTGCTACTCCACGACATGGTTATTTACAAGCATAAGTAGCTACAGCAGCAGCTAGCTGTGGCACTTGGGCACTTCCTGCAGGAATATTTTAACATTTCTACTGAAATTTTGGTGTAACACAAAAACGTTATCAGTGAAAATGTTTATAGAATAGCATTCACACGGACTGCTATAAAATTCAGTAAATCGGACTTGTTTTGTCCCCACTTCGACTCCAGGCTACTTTCTAAAGCAGTGGTTCCCAACCCTGGTCCTTGAGGAACACCATCCTGCATGTTTTAGTTGTTTCTCTGCTCCAACACACCTGATTTTAACTAATGGGTGATTAGCAAGCTTCTGCAGAACATGATGAAGTAATTAAATCACTGAATCAGTTGTGTTGGAGCAAACATGCAGGATGGTGTTCCTCAAGGACCAGAGTTGGGAATCAAAGTGAACTTCTGCCACTTTAAAACAACGCCTATCTCCACACAGCGGTCCGTGCAAATGCTGTTTTATTATTTTAACACTTCTCTCAGCCTCATATTAGACAGTTACCATGGCTGAATTATCACTGGATGCTGCCACTACTTGCCCGTTCAAATAACCATACTATTCGAAAACCTGTGTAATTTAGTGGTGGAAATGTTTTTCAAAGACTATTTGCATTAATAGTTACAGGTTTTTGGGAAATGGGGCATTTAGGACATTGGAATTCAACTTGAAGTTAGCCTCACTCAAAGCAACCATTAGCTCATCAATCTTATGAAAATTAAACTCCATTTTCTCAAATTTAGGTTGTTAACGGTGCTATTTGCAGGCAGTATATTATTTGTTAAAGCCTTTCCACAAAATCCCACTTCAAAAGATCTTAACGTATTCTTTTAAGGAGCTAAATCTCCTCGAAAGGAATAAAGAAGAATACAACAAAGTGCTCATTTCCCAAATCTGGAAATGTATACGATTTAGCAACAAAATCCATGTAAAACAAAACAATATTTAAAAAAAATAACTTTTTGCACTTTTTTGAGTTTGACATTTTTAAACAGCCGCGTGAAGCTGCAGAGGGGGGTTCACAGCGCCTGCGGTCCCAGGACTCTCTTCAGTCATGTGGTCATTCCTCATTTCAAGATCAAAATACAAAACAAAGAAGGCTCGTGTTTGTCCCAATCTCATAATTTATTTAAATATATTTCATCTTTAAATATATGTACTTTTATATATAACACCCTTAGCCATTTTCTATGGTAGCCACAGGTGGGTTATTCTTGCATTTACAGTACACTCCTGGCTGAATGGCTCATGATCTATGTTTCGTGTATGGTGGAGCCTTTCGACGACTCATACACGTCACTGCAGGTTTTACCATCACATACTCAAGATTAGCCTCTCCGCAGGATGGCTGTGACTTAAAAAAGACCACTCATGTGTTGTCATTTCACACAACGATACAGGAAAGTGTTCATTTAATGATGTCGTTCTGAAGGCACATGGCTGACTCTGTCGTCACTGCCAGCTGAGGGTCTGTGAAAACTTTTTTTAGACCGTACTGTAGAAGGGTCAGATAAACCCGAAACACTCAAACATGGCGGACGTATCAACAGGCAAGCTGTTCTACAAATAGCTGGATTTTTCACGTTATTAACACCTTTATGGAATCCAGCAGGGAAATAAGGCCCCTCCTTTCTTTTTTCCCCCCCTCCACTCTTGTCTTTCACCATCTTTATCCTGGTCTGGATGTTTTTTGCCTGGTTGCTCCTGTGGGATGTGACAGCTGACCTTCGAGGCCCAGCCAAAGTGGTGATTGGCAGCAGTTGGGGCCTGAGTGAAGGACAAAACTGTCCTCAGAATCAATCAGATGCCGGCGTCCCTCTTACTGTCCAAGGCACTTTTTACTTAAAGCATCTTCTTCTTCTGGAGTACTTGTGTTTGGCTTTCAACCTGCAGAGAAAAAGAGAGGCGGGTGAGAAATATTCAGCACAGTTTCCAGCTTGGCAACACCAGAAACAATCACAAATGATAAATCAGGAAGCTTGATCTGCAACAGAGAGGAGCAGCAAGAAAAATCACCACAGGAACAAATAGCTGAGTGTCTCATGGGAGTTACACTTTAAACCAAAGTCTGATTCCTGCTGAGGTTTGAGAGTCTCGATTATTATTATTATTATTATAAGTGTTTCACTGCAAAATAAAAACCTGCAGAGACATTGCTTAAAGTGGGGTTCTGTGGAAAGATTATGAACAATTAACATCTTACCGGTTGTAGACAGCTCTTTGAACGGCTGCAGTTTGGATAAACCGAGTTTAATTCTGACCATATGGATGAGTCTTAACAGGTCAAAGACAAAATGTGGATTGCAGTTGTCATAAAATGGCTCAGAGCTCAGAAATTGCAGATCGGTTCTTACGAATGCCAATTAAAAAACCTTAACGTCATCATCAGTTTAGCATTAGCCAACTATTTACAACGAACTCTGTGGTTGTTTACAAAAGCAAGTAGCTGTAGCACTTCTGACACAGCCTGGACTGCTTTTGACATAATGGTTTTTTTTTTTGTTGTAAAAGTGTGGAGTCGTGTAACGGTTTATAAAATATCATTTCTATGAACCTCATTGACATTTTGAAATAGGAGTTTTAAAGAAAGCAACAATCCACTCTCGCTCTGACTATCTGTTAGCTTTTTATTAAACGGTTTACCGCTCGTTCCGGTAAAATATTAATCATTCATGACTTTTCCAAGAACTCCACTACAAAAAAAAAAAAAAAAAAAAATTCCTTTAAGAACATTGCCAAGAGGCTATAGCTCGCTTGGAATAAGCAACATGTTGCTGTTGTTTGTCTTTCAGCTGCTCTCGTCTGCAGGGTTCACCACAACAAGTGAACTCTTGAAAGATTTGTTAAATGTTTTACACCGGATGTCCGTCCTGATGCAACCTGGACTTGAACTTGCAGCTTTAGGATTACAAGACTGCAGCACCTAAATTATATCCACCCATTCATCCATCTTCTTTACCCCCTAGTCCTTTTCAGTTTGCTCTGGAAGCTGGTGCCCATCTCAGCAGTCAATGTGCAAGAGGCGGAGTACACCCTGGACATGTGCCGAGCCCACTGAATTATATGTTAAAGTTTATTTTAATTCATTCATCTTTGCCAACCTGGATCTTTATTGCATTAGCATGTCAAAGATGTAAATTTTGTGATTACTGAGAGCCATGGAGTGGATCAAACAGTGCCGAAACAGAAACAAATCACCAATGAAACGTGATGTAAAACAATAAATTTCATGTTTTGATTGAACTAATTTCCCCTCCTAGTCAGAATCATCACGAATAGACATTTTTTTTTTTTTTTTAGAAAGTCAGTTATGCCTTTGTGTTTAAGTGGGATGTTTAAGCTACATTTGTCTGATTTATACATAACAGTTCATGGTTTGATACTACTTAGAGATGATAAACCAACATATATGTGTGGCGTGATGAATTAATTAATCAGTATAATACAAGACATCGGCATCAATAAGTGAAATATAGTGTACTAATGTGAAGTTGTAGTTTTGGTTGTCAGCTTGTAACATTGTTTTTCCTTGTCTAAATGAGAGCATCTCTTGTAAGTTTTCTAAAGTGTGTCCAGTCAGAGGCCACAGTTAAATTTTGTGCGACACCAAAACCAAAAGCTAACAGAATGTCAGGTGTTTTATTATGCATGTATGTGACCCATCCTGGCAAAATAGAACAGAATATACTTTATTACCCCCTTGGGGAAATTTGTCTTGGACTCAGGGGTGTATATTGCGTAGTTGCCCAAACACACAATAAATACACATACAATTCATATAAACGGCTCAAAAAGTACAACAGTTTAAAAAGACAACAACAGAGAACACCAAAGTTCTTGCACACCTTGCAGCCTCAACATATCTATTTAAAATATGATTCAACATTTTGATGGAGGTGGGCACAAAATAATATTTAAAACGGTTCAGCTGAGTTTTTTGGGATGAGTGAGAATGAGCTCAGGCTGCACTATAAAAACAAAAATGAAAACATAGATTTTAGCTCTAATTTAGATTTTCTTAAATATAACTCAATAAAGACAAAATCTAGCAATCCCAGTAACTTAAACAGCATATAATCTTCCTAATCGGCCTTCGAATCAGATTTTGTAAATTGCTTAGACATTGTCCTTTTAATTTCCCTTTAAATTAACCATTTTTCTCTAGCAGTTGCCTTACTGCCGGGGCAATCCCTTCATATAATGTTTGGCATCATTGTGAAGCTTGGGGATTCCCCTTTTTTTTAATATAGGGCTGGAATTCCCAATGACAAATAAAAACACAATCACAGTATCACAAATCAATTACATTCATCATCATAAATCATTGCAGGATCAAATTGATAAATGAAATGAGCATTTCTTGAAGGATGCATGCTGCCCAGCCTCGCATGCCAAAGTTATAAACAAAAATCTCACGGTTTGTTGATGTGATGGGGTTGACTACCAGCAGGATATCTATAAAACAGTTAATTGTAGCCATGTTTGTGTTCACTAAAGCCAGTGAGCTGTAACTATCTTAAATCAAGTTGAAGTTAATCCGCTGTAGATATTGACAATTACTTTCTGGGAGTTTCATCAAATCCAGCTAATTTGTCCAACACAACAGTGCTCTGATGGTCCTCTTACCTTGTGTGTGTGTGTGCGTGCTACCCCTCTGTGCACTGCGGGCTGCCGGCTAGTCGTGTGAGCAGTCGTGCACATCTTTTGAAGTCTAGGAAGAGAAAACAGAAAGACTTGAGTGCTTTCTTTTCACGCAGCATGTTGGCTTTGGACTGACGCTGTTCGTGCAACAGCTTACATGCCGGTATCGTGCAGTCTCTGGTGTGGTGGTAAAGTCTGTAGGCCTTAATCCTGCACTTGGAGCTGAAGACGAGTGGACCTGACAGAGGACCAAAAAAAAAAAAGGAGGTCTTTAAGCATTTTTCTAGTTTTTACGAGCCTGCAGCAGCATCTGTTTATTACTTCTTACATTACTGTGACTATTTTCATGACAACTGTACCTGTGAAGTATTTCAGTATTTTCTCCTTCTTTTTAAGATCTCTTGTAGATAAAACTGGGAGGAGATAAAAGGGGGAAATGGTCAGTTTCCACTTATTTTTAGAGCATCTGTCTTTAGCGCCACAACAATTAGAATAAAGATAAATTTGTCAAACAATCACCTCAACATGGATAACTTTTAAATATAGTTATTAGACACAAATATAAACAATTACCACTAATCCTTCATCACACGCTGATGTAAAAACCTGTTTATAGAGCGGAGACAGAAGGTTTCTTAGCTGCGTTCAGCTTTAGATGCAAATAATAATGAGTACTTGATGAAATGCATATCTCTTGTGTCACTTTTAAGCAAAGGTCATCAGTGCTCAGAGTATGTGATGGGTATGACTCTCAGCTACACCAAATTATGGCTCAAACAACTGTGGTATAGCAATTTTGTGTTTGGGTCAAATAGTGGAAACATTATACGCTATATAGCCTGTTTAGTATCATATAGACGATTGAATTTAATCTATCTATATTATTAAAACAATTTTTAATGTGTCACCTTTCTTACATAAATGACCACTGAGAAATGACTGTCTGAGGCTGACGTCAACGCCACTTGTGTGTCTTCCAGTTTATGGAAAGTTGCAGAAAGGGAATGTTGTTCATGGTGAGGCAACAAAAGAAACGCAACACTTCTTGAGCTCCGCATGCAAAACTGACCAGCAAAAATAACTTTAATGATCAGCAGTAAGAACCCCCCTGAGGGCTGTCAGAGGCCCGCGGGCCTTCTGTTGATAATCATTGCTTTCCAGTCTTCATTTAATTTACCTGCTGCTGATCTATTTAAAGAAAACAAATCCATCCTGGACTCACCGACAGCCGGACTCGCTCGCTCCATCTTGCTGCGGAAGTCCCTCAGCTCCACAGAAGATGCGCTCCCGGCGCGTGACGTTACCGGGGCTTCCGTTCGCGCGCTGTGCCGTTCCCGGGTCCCCTCCACGCGCCGCACCATCATCAGCCTGGTCAGGCTGCGCGGCGCGTCCTCCCCGAACGCTCGCGCATGAGCTGGCCCCGCCGCGGGCGCGCTCTGGCCGCCGTGCTCGCTCAGAGCGCACAGGAGTAAGAGCAGTCCAGTGAGGACCCGCCGGCGCTGTCCGCTCATAGTGTGGAGGGAGGAAAACAATAAATAATAATAATAATAAAAGTGAGGTCACTTTTCTCCGGAAACCTGCAGGAGAGAAGAAAAGGGAAAGTTGAGAAAATTCAAACTTGTGCTAAAATCTCCAGATAACAATAAGATCAACTTTACAACCAGGAAAGCCAAATGCTTCAAATGATGGAGAACTTGTTCTCTCCAAAGTTGCTCAAGACACAAACAAAACTTGTAACTTCCAACGCATTCAAAGCGCAAAGATGTTCACGGAGAACATTTCTGACCACATCTTTTCAGCGTTTTTCGTCTTTCCGCGCAGCTACAGCAGCAGCTGAAGTGTAAAAATGACGTCAAAAACAGGTGAATGTACCTTTTTAAACTCCGCAGTGAAAGGGGCTGAATCCTGCGCGTGCAGTCAAAGCATGCGAGCAGCAAAGAGTCCTGCTCTGCTCCCACTTGTGTCCTTTTTTGAAAGTTTCCTACGCGAGAAGCAAAGTTGCGCTCATCCTCCAAACAGGCTCCAAGTCCTCCCCGTGCGTCCCGCAGAAGAAGTGCTGGATCCGTGGCGCGCCCTCTCCTCTCCTCTTGAAGTGAAGCCGACTTTTTATTCTCCCTCGTGCCCCCCCCCCCCTGTGGGCACCTCCGTCAGATATGTACTAATTATAGGATGCACCTGGAGGAGGAAAATTCCTGTTTGTTTTGCGACCATCACCCGAGCGCTGCGCGGAGTTTTCTGAGCGCACCCCTCCTCTGCGTCACTCCATTTATGCGCGCGACGCGCGGTTACAGGAAGCCTCGTCCTCCTCTTTAACACTTCCACTGAAATCTCGGAGCAGCGCGCGGCGCAGCAGACACCGGCTTCCTAGTGGAAACCCTCCATCTTCTCGTGATCCGAACCCCATTTAGAGCCGCCGCGCGCGTCACGTCCATCATGGAAGCGGAAACCCAATTAGGCACCTTTTAGGGACGGTTCTTTTGAAATCTTTGGAGAACAACAACAACAAAAAAAAAAAAACCTATTCTTGACCAGTAACTCCTCACTGGAGATTAGTCTGCTGTGGTTGGAGCTTTCTCAATAGAGGC